CGGATGTCCACATCGACGCACTCAGCACAATTGACGTCCCTTCTGTACCTCCCCACAATCTCCTAATCAAGCAAGGTGCACCTATCATTCTCCTGCGAAACATAGCCATGATAAATGGTCTTTGCAATGACAGACACCTCATCATCAACTCTATCACTGACATCCATTTAATGCATCCATGCATCCTACCCCTCCTCTTTCCAGTTTTATTCCCAAGAATTCTCCTAATTGTCACTCTGATGAAACATCCCCTTTCCCATGGCAAAGAAGACAATTTTCTGTCCGCCTTACTTGTTGCTATTACTGTGAACAAATCACAGGGACAAACAGTCAAACATGATGGCATTGATCTGAAACAGCATTTTTTTTGCACACAGTCGACGACTCTATGTCACCGCATTCCGTGTTGGAGATCCATCTCTTATCCATTGCTCTTTGTCCGCAAGCACCAACTACACAACAAACATTGTGTACAAACAAGTTCTGACATAACTGGCTCACATTTCCTCTCATTGTGTGCAGATCCCTCTAAGATATCCCACCAACCCAAGTGACAAACACGAGTCCGTTCGGCCTCGCATACTTCTCCACCCAAGGTGTCTGCAACATGCACTCCACTCCAATGGCAACCACCACCCTGAACCACAAATTACATCCCAACAACTGATGATGATACAACTCTATAACCACTTCACACAAGACGCCACATGCACAATGGTTCAGCCAACCACACCTTCGACCGCTGATCAACACACTCTCACCACCACACCTCCTCCTCCTCCTCCTTCCTCCCGGTTCCCCGATCATACATGGTTTCTCCCCATGATTGTGCGTGAGCAAGGATGGGCATTTCTTCTGTGTATGACACCCTCCTTGACATCTCATTGCTTATGATGAGTGCATTGTACTAGTCCTGTATTCTATGAGTGGGATTGGTTGATTCAGACCTCTGCTACATTGGATTGTTGTTTCTCGCCGCTCTTGCTGTTCATGGGTCTGGACCATACCTGGTGATTCCAGGTATGTGACAGCATGACTATGCCTGACTGGGCTTGAACAGGCGATGCTCTTCTGCCTCCCACCAGTGCTAAGGTTATTTGGCCTTCATTCCTGGCACTTCAAGATGGTGGCGAACGAGCGCTTCGGATCCTTGACAGGGCAACTGGTTTGATTGTCTGAACCAGGATCAGGTGGTTGTAATTGGTACAGTTCGTTTCGAAAGAGAGGAAGCAGTTGGCTTCAGGTTGAACCACCAGTCGTATCATCACCTTTGGAGGATCATTCATGGGCAGCCAAATTGATATACGTTGCACTGCGTTGACGTGATAGATGTGTGAGGGCAATCAATGATCTGCTCTGTGATCAAACTCGCTAGGGCAGTCAGAACAAACTCACTGGATCTGCTTGCCCGGATATCGCTTAGAGTAGTCTTTAGACCATCCCAATAGAGAGCATGTTTCGTAGTGGAAGTCCTTAGGCAGGTTTTACATTGTAATGGAGGAAAAAGCCGAAGGAGAGTGTCTCATAGTAATTCTGTAAAGGTGTGGAATAGGCAAAGGGAACTAGAAGTCTCAGTGTATATCATTGAAGATAAACACTCAAGTCAGAGCTGCTGCGCTCTCTGTGTGACCACTCCACTTGAGCCTGCTCTGCCCTGCAAATCTCTCTCCCATCGTGCACCGTTATCACCTATCACCTATTCACTTTGTAAGATGTTAAGATCATTCTCCTCCACCTTTCCCTCCTCCTCGTTTCTCCTCTTCCTCCCCCATCTCCACGCCAGCCCCCTTCCATCCCCCTTCCCCTTTTCTTGCACCTGCGGGTGTTCGGAGGAGGATTCGTAAATGGAAGTGTCGAAGTTCACTTTCCTTTTCCGGAAAGGAACATTGCAGCATTGCCGCTTCGAAGACCTCAAGTCTTTCCTTGCTCCACTCAAGCTTTGGAATGTTAATTGACAGCAATTTTAGGCGGCGGGTATGAATATGTCCATCTGCGCAAGAAGTCAAACAGCTGAGCAAGCAATCTTAAACATGATGGAGATGGAAGAACCGCGTGTTGATGCTGTCCCTCTTGACTTCCGAAGTGCTTTCCAAGGAAGCGTGTTCGAGAAGTATCACGTGAAGTATCATGTGATTCCCCTCCAACTGGCTACACTTGAGCCATGTGAGGCCTTCTCACTCTATGATTTTTTCACAATTAACTTGAATTAAGTGAATTCTTGCTGCGGCCAGTAAATCTCGATCTCCTAAAGAGGAATCGTGATGTTTTCGTCGGTCAGTTTGCTACGTTTGTCCGCAGCTTTCGCAAAGCTGCAGATATTTCAGACTGTTGTGCGGTTGCGGACATGGCGAATGACATTTTTAGTCAGCTTGCCGCGAAACAGAGGGTTCGTTGTCGTTTTTTGTGAAACCAGAGGGGTTGTCGTTGTCGCCATCGCCTTAATGTGGATGGCAGTAAAGCTCTGGAGTTTCAAAGTTTTCATTGTCTCATTCAAAGGGACTGCTGGAGAAAATGTTCAAGCGGTCAGGGATGGATGTCACACGTGAGTGCGATGAGGTTCTTGCCCAGAAACTGTTTGACTTCTACAAAACAGAGCAATACACATTTTTCGACAGCGCTTATGCTTGTTCCCTGTTAGATATGCATGCACACCTCTTTGATTTCGATTTGGTGGGAGGCGACAGTCAGCACTTCCCGCTCCGGATGCTCATGTGGTGTACCTCTGCTTGTCACGAAACCATTGGCTGGTGCACAAAGATCCAATATCGAGAGACTGGCACTTTGATTGCCAAAGCCAATGGCTTTGCTGAACACGAGGAGACACAACCCCAGATCCGAGCTAAGTTTGTGGTTTAAAGAACAGAACAAGCCACATGGTGACGTCCCTACAATATAGAGAATATCAGGAAGTTGGTACTCTGGTGGTGGAGGTGATAAAGAAGAAGACTCGTTGGTGCTTGATGCTGAATCCTTCGACATCAACGTTAGGACACTCTATTACTCGTTGGCCACGGTCTCCTCAATGTTAGGACGTGAGCAGAAGAAAAGCTTGTTCCAACTTGGTAAAGCTTCTTTTGCCCAAGGCGAAGGACACTCTATTACCTATTCTGGTAGGTCAGAGTTTGAGTGCTTACTGCCTGTCGCTGCCTCCCTGGCGTCATGGCCTCATGCCATTTCCTCTCTCCATGTACAATGACTTTGACTTCATTGTAAGGCTTTTTAGCCGTTGTGCATCCTCGATGGAAGTGCCGCGACAAGGAGATATCCAACACTTTCAAATGAACTGCAAGCGCTTTGTCCACATCTTCAAAGGGACTTGCTGGGAGACATTGCACGAGGATTTGATAGTCCGAATCATGGGTTATGTGGTGCATCCGCCACTGCATATTTCCAGACCACCTGTTCAAGGGGACTGACACATACGAACATGGTTCTTCCTGTCTAGTGATATCCAATGAATATTGGAACAGATCATTAGGTAGTAAGAGGCCTTCCTTGCACAGAGTATGCACACATTTCTTGCAGCATAGTGCAGGGTCGGGGCTCCCAGCATACTGCATTTTTGTATTTCAGTGAGTGGACCATTATAGATAGATGTATCTTGAGAATGTAGTAATCTGCCTATTTCCTTCCAAAGAAAAAGCATGCGGTTCATGTCGAGATACCTGCCACGATTTTCAGATTAGTTAGAGCTATAATTTGCCCATCTTAGTTTCTTTTTTGTTAAAATCTTTTTTTGTGTCGAATCTGTTGATGATGTTCGTCCTGTGGGTCTAAACGCTTAGCAAACTTTGCTGCACTAGGCACACATTTCTGGTACATGTCTGTTTAATTGTATGCCAAGAGCCATATGCTCCTACCTTATGTTGTCGACCCCACAGGCTCGCGGACGCTCGCGGAAAGGCGGACGGATTGCCGCGGAGTGGTTTTTCAGACCCCACAGGCCGTAGGAAGCGGCCTGGAAAGCATCGGATGGGCGTTTCCACATCGTTTTTATGTCAGAAAAGCAAACGTGGCAGCTCAATTTCCGAAATTTTGTGCCAACTTTACATGGTAGGTCCCTTCGAGGCCTTCCGCCGCAAACGGCCTCGGAAGGCTGGTTTGTCCGACAGGCATCCGGTGGACCGCATGGCCTGTCCCGGGAACACAGAGGCGACCATCGTGGTCTGTCGCACGAGAGTTGTCGGGGACCGTGCGGCAACTCGCGGTGGTCCCAATGGGGAGTCGGCCTCCCCACCGATTTTTTAATTTCAGCCGGCGTTCGAATGGAGGGCATCCCCGCCGATTTTTGAATTTCAGCCGGCTGCTGCACTGTGTGGGTTCCCGTGGAGGACAACGGCTTGCCCTCTTTCCCAGCCATCTCCATAGCTCTCAGCGATCGTTGGGGGTTGAGTGCCTTGAGACAGGGTGTTCCCAGCAGGGTATGTCGTTAGCAGTCGGGCATCCTCCTAGCGATGCTACGCGCATGTATGAAGTGGGTGACGCGTTTGCCTGGTGGCCGTCTTGGCCAGCAGACAGGTGCAAGGTGGCTGTTTGCGCACTGTCCCTTGGGTAGCAGTGGTGGGAGGGCCGTCTCCTATTGCGGTGGATGGAAACGTGGAACCGTGTTCGATGTTGAGAGTGTGAGAGGGGGTGTCGCTGGAAGTCTGTCGTCCAGCCTCATGCGCTTGCGGGGGCGGTTGCGGACCCCCCMCGTCRGCTTGGCTGTCGCCTGTGTGAGGGATGTGGAGCATGGCAATGGGACAGCCATTGCTCCCAACAGTTCAACGACCAGCATTGTGAGGCCATTCATGCCCGTAAGGCAGGCAGGGGATGTCGGAATTGTTCCACGACCACGTCCTTGTCCGAGGTCGGGAGCGTTGCTCTGTTGTTGCCGTGGTGCAGTTGAAGGCCAGGACTCAGCTTCCAAGGCTTTCGGCGGACAGAGCACATCGGCCATCGTTGTCGTGGAAGTGGATTGGACGAGACGGTGTTGTGATCCCTGTTTTGTGTGGGTAGCGGTGTTGTGTGTCCCTGTCACGCTGGGGTTGCTTGTCTTCGTGCTGTTAGCCATCATCTTCTTGCTTGTGTTGTTTACGATTTTTCTGTGTTGTTGGGAGGCAAGTAGACGAGGCTGTTCGTGATCTTGTCATGGAAGGGGGGCGGTGGACACACGACCTCGGCAGGTCATACGACGACGGGAGAGCTCCGCCACATGGGGCAAGGGATGACGGTGGCAGCTTCTCGTCACAGTTGAGCCAAGGTCTGTCACAAATCAGCCAGGACACAGGGATGACAGCACGCGCACCTCCATCACCTTTTCCTGTTGGTCGTTTGCCGGAATGGTCGAAGACCCCCATCCCCCCGAAAAGGATGGGGTCACCATTCCAGTCCTCATACCCGCCACCTGCATCGTCGTTGTCCACCCCTCATGGAGGACATCAGCACTTCAGCAGCCCGGCGACGCCGACGGTCGTTCCGCAGCCGCTGTCCACGCATCCACCACGTGTCTCGGTCGTTTCCCTACCAGCAGCACTATCAATGGATGGAGCAAGGGAATCACATGCGGAGTGGTCATGGACGCACTCGCATCCTGCCATGCCATCAACCGGTGACAATAGCAATGGCATGGATAGTCGGTGGGCAGTGTACGGGCAGATGGCGAGTGGCCATTGTCCGTCTAGTGAGGGAGTATCGAGCATGAAGCCTCACGACAATGACGGGGGAGCATTGCTGCAAGATTCCGTTCGTCGACGACCGAGGACCGAATCTCCCACCTATCGAGACATGCGAGACATTACTGTGTCACCTCCCCTTAGATCGTCGAACCTTTCTCCACGATGTGCGGTCGACATGGATGGTGGTGATGTCGACATGGACGGTCAACAGCCGGCAAACGACAGGCCGAGCGTGGAAGACGGGACGCGAGCGCCATTACCACGGCCAGACAGGAAGAAGCAGATGAGGCCTTGGGTTTTGGAGGAGAAAGTAGACTTTGCTGAATGCATGAGGGAGGATGACGGGCTTATGGCAGCCGCTGATGGCAGGCACAAATGTATGAAACGTTCAGAGAGAAATGAGTGAGTGTCGAAGAGGATGGGGGAGAGGGGGTGGAAGAGATCGGCCGAGGACTGCAGGAAGAAATGGTCGGAGTTAACGAACAAGTTGAGGGTCATCAGGGACAAGTGTGGGGCATCGGGCAAACCCTCGTATTGGGAGATGACAGGGGAGCAGAGAAAGGAGGGGGGGATGTTCCCTGCCTTCGAACAGCCTATGTGGGAGGCCATGGCTTGATACTCCAACTTGTCGTCGCTAAGGTGTGACAATACGCTCGCCTGAAGTGCTTTGCAGACAGGGAACGGAGGGAGCTCCGGTAGAGGTACATCGGAAGGGGGAGGGACACCTCAAGGCGGAGGGACAACGCAAGCAGGGACGACAACAGCCGACGGGGCGTCAGATGGCCGTCCTGCATCAGCAGGGGGCGGGACATCAGATGGGCAAGGAACGTCGCAGGGGGCAGGAACTTCTCGAGGAGGAGGGACGGACGAATCAGAGAGTGCACGGAAGACACGTCGCACAGGTGGTGGGAAAGGTCGGGTTGCAGGAGAGAGCGGATCAGCGGTTTCAACCATCGCCGAAGCAATGCATGTGTCGACGCGGGCGTACTGTGAAGGACTGGACAAGGCGTTGGACAAGGCCGCTGGTGTGCTCGCGAAGGCGAGCACCGAAGGAGCGAATGTTGTCGCTGGCAGGATAGGTGACATGGCCACCCAGATTGGTGAGGTGGCGACCGCCATGCATAAGGGAAATGCGGTGCTGGACTGCTGGTGGGTGTCATGGCACGACGAGGGAGCACCGACGGCGAGCGATGAGGAGACAATGACAGTTCGCGGCGTTGGGAACGGTACGGTTTTCGAGGCGTTTACATATATATATATATATATATTCAGGTGCCTGGAACCCGTGCCCGTTTTCTGTGGGCCGTAGACGACATCTGTCGGTGGGCCGATGGTGGCGGGGGGCGGCTATATATAGGGCGGCTGTGTGGTCTGCAGCAGTGTGTGAAGTGTTCTTCGCGTAGGCATCGTGCGGAAGGGGAGGGTTGTCACTTTCCGTCCTTCGCTGTTCTCCACGGGTGACGGATGTCGTGGTCGTCGTGAGGGAGAGGGTAGACGTCACCATCGTGAGAGAGAGAGAGAGAGAGAGAGAGAGAGAGAGAGAGAGAGAGAGAGAGAGAGAGAGAGAGAGAGAGAGAGAGAGAGAGAGAGAGAGAGAGAGAGAGAGAGAGAGAGAGAGAGAGAGAGAGAGAGAGAGAGAGATGTCGGACGTCGTGGCCGTCGTGAGGGAGAGGGTCGATGGGAAGGAGGTCGTCGTGTAGGAGACAAGGCTCGAACGAGGGAGCGAGCGCCACCGCCAAATGGATTGGGGCCCTGGCGTACAAACCGACCAGACGCGTGTGTATTACGCACTGGTGAACGGCTTGATGGCCATGTGGATGGTGGCATGGCTGGGCTACGACGGGGACAACAACCTCATGGAGGTTGTTCTCCTGGTGCGGAAACTATCCAATGTTGTCCCCGACACGTGGCAAACGCCGAACCCGGACGTCGTGGGCGACATGGTGAGGTACCTCATCTCCGCCATCGCCGAGGAACATGTGGCGGCCATGGATGCGAATGCGTCGTATAGTGCGGAATTGGAGCCTCCCCTTCGCGGGAGGGAGTACCTTTATGGCGCTGTCTGGATGTGGTGCCCGGAGGACGACATCAGGGCCGCGCGTAACAGGTGGTGAGGTGGAGTCTTCGTACGCAGCGGCAGGCGCATGGATGACATTATTGAGGTGCCGCTAAAATGGCCTTCCACGTGTGCATGACGGGCGATTAGTGGGGACCGTCGATGGAGGGGAGGAGGGTTGATTGGAGCGGTTCGCGGACCTCCTATCCTGTGCATGACAGGCATGTGTGCCCATGTCTTCGCAGTGCGTTGATGGAAATTGGGTTTGGGTTCTTCCACGTGGACGAACCGGAGATGGGTCAATCCTTCCTGTCAAGGAAGCAATCAATGCCCATCTCCAGTTATGTCGATTCATCATAATTTTTGGTGCGATGGCACGGTTCACGAATGAGGAGAGAGGTTATACGACCTGTAATTTTGTTGTCCATTTGCGTGGCTTGTTTCTTGTGTCTGGGTGTGTCGAAGACAGTGCTGTGTGTGTGCACGTGTCTGTGTGTCCTTGTCCTTGTTTATTACAATAATGTTAAAATTTGTTGTTGGAGTGCCAAAACTTCGAAAGGCTCAAATTCATTTCGCCAGTGTCGTTTTCAACATTTGAACCGTTCTTCTGCTCTCGTTTTTTGTGTGAATGGACGAAGTCGAGCGGACATAACAGGATTGCATGTTGTTGCTGCAAATGTGTTGAGGTGCTGAACACCACCAACTGTCGATGCTGATATGTGCATGCCATCACCCTGTTCGAAACAAGAAGACCAAAAAAGAAAAAGAAAAAAAAAAAAAGAAGAGAAAAAAAAAAGAACACCAACGCAGGATCGTTGTGTTGAACAACATGCATAAAGGAATTTCTGTTCGTCCGGAGAAAGAACATCCTCTCTCTCTCTCTCTCTCTCTCTCTCTCTCTCTCTCTATATATATATATATATATATATATATATATATGAGTCGGTGAAACTCCGACGAAACAGTTTGTCACAACCCCTCGTTTGTTGTCTTCTTCTCTCTCTCTGCCTACGGTTTTACCGGGCAGTTCTGTTTGTGACGATATATATATATCAAATACCAATCACACGATTCACACCTCTGCATACCGGACCTCATATCAACCTATGCCTCTGCTCGTGCAGCCACGCGACGCCAAGGAGCTCGTTGTGGCGCACCATGCACTCGAACATGGTGGACGACATGCGTCACTAACCTTGACCTACATTCCGCCCCCTCCTCGCTGCCATACGACTCATCCGTTGAATTGTGAAAGGTCTGCCGTCCTTGTCGTCACGCGGCTGGGTTCCTTGCTGGCTGCGGACGTGGCGGAGGGTTGTCATCGTCGGAGTCATCACCGTCGGAGGCGCAAAGCTCGTCGACGTCCACATTGTGGTCCAGAAGAATGTTGTGCAATAAACAGACGACCATGACCTCTTTGCACAACGTCTTCAAGTTGCCAATCTGTCGACGGATGAAATTGCGGCACACAGCCTTTAGAACGTCGAACGTCCGCTCGATGACGCTCCTTGCAGCGGAGTGCGAGTCGTTGAAGGTGACATCGTCTGCGGTACGACGACGAGAAGGAACTAGCGTGATCAACCATGGCAAACAAGGAAAGCTTGCACCCCCCAGTACATAGCGGCCAATTCTTGTCCCGTCAGTGAGAGTGTGTGCACCAACACTGAACACTCCTACACCGTTTTGAGCGTCAGAGTACAAAGGAGATAGCCACAAGACCCGAGAGTCATGGTTGGACCCCGGGCACCTGACGTACACATCCAATATTCTGCACTCGTGGTCGCAGACCACCTGTGCAATGATCGAAAACTGTCCCGTCCTGTTGTAGTAGCACTCGCCACGCTCCTTCCTCGGCTTTTCAATGTACAGGTGAGTGCAATCTATCGCACCCACACAACCTGGAAAACCCTTCCGTTCAAATGCATCCAGCGTCTCCTGGGGACGGCGACCCCGCAGGAAGGAGATGACATGACCGTATTCCCTGATGATTGCGTCGGCCACCTCTTCGTTGCTTCGCAGTGCATTGGCGAGTCCCATGCCCAACCCATGAGCAGACTGTCTGTAGAAACTGCCAGTGGCCCATCTGATCAGCGCGCATGCAAATTTCTATTCCGCAGGCAGTGGCTGCCTCCAATTCGTCGTTGCCCGCTGAATATGAGGTGCTATTCGGCGCAAGACGTCCTCGAACACTAGACGAGGGAGCCTACAAAACCTTTTGAAGACCTTGTCGTGTCTCCTACCCACACGTTGGAGATCCTTCCACACACCACCGCTGCGATCAAGTACATAAATCCTTCCACTACTCTCGGCTCTCTAGTGAATGGCACTCAAAGCCGCATGGAGGAGATGAAGGTTGTGACCAACACCATACGTCAACAGTGCCAAAACAACTGGCATTCCAGTATCCCACAGAGGCAATGACGCTGCAGCCTCGATAACGGTCATAGCCGCCTCGTTCCTTTGTTTCATCCACTGGATGATGACGAAAACCAACATGAGCAGCATGTCGTCCCACTCCGCACTCGCATCCGAGCATGCACCGCTGCCAGGTCCGCTGTCGAGTTTCATTGCTTCGTGCGTGCCAGGAATGTCCCCATCTCCATCGCCGAAACCTGCTTCCATGGCCACACGATCAACCACTTTCAAGCGGTGAACGTAAATGGCGACGACGCGTCCCACAACACGACTGGCGATGGCGTTGCAACGGCGGAGGGAGCGCCAACGGTCAGTGGTCCCCGACCCAAAGCCAAACGGTCGACGAGACACTCCAGCGGCCGTGAGGTTCCACGAGAGTCAGGTCCTGTCGCTGGGACCCGTTCTTCTGTCGCCCACACCTCCTATTCCCATCACACAATGTTGTGCTTGTGCCGCGCATGGACATCCGGTGGACCGAAAACAGAACCCGTTCAATGACGGCAGCCACCGTAAACTTCCCATTTCGAGAAAGGCCGATTGCGCTTTCCTGTTTGGGCAAGCAGGTCGTCTGCGGACGCTCAAATTCCGTGGTGCGGTGGGGTCCCATGTTCCTGGAAACCTCTGTGCGCGGTGGACGAACCCCGTCCTGCGCGGACAAATTGTCTGCCTTTCCGAGAACCTGTGGGGTCCAGCCCTTAGGCATTTCAGAAACTGAGCTCTAATCTGAGGCATATGCTACTTATTATCACCAAGTTCTGCCTCGGGGAAAAGGGCAGAGGAAAACAATCAACGCATCGCTTTAGAAGGGAAGTGGCCACTCTCACACAAGGGCTTCTAAGAGCGTTTGACGGGATATTAGTGGTGTTGCCGTTCCAGTGAATCGATTCAGTATGGGTAAGATATATGCTATGTAATGCCACGAGTATATCCCCTGAGAGAAGGGAGGTGCTGAAAGTAAGGAGATGAGAGCACCGTCAGTATCTGAATGACGGATGGAGAGGACTGTTATAGGAGCACTCAAATAATGGTATGGATACATGTGTGTGTGTGTGTGTTCGGTACACCAAAGTGTATCATGCTACGAAGCTCCATGTACCTTGTGGTATACGAGTTCCGGGCCTACCTTGGCCCTAAAAAGACGTCCTTAGCGCCCGCCGACATGTCCAGTCCTGGTCCCATCGCGGTACGTACTTTGTCTACGAATAGAACAAACGAGTACTTTATATTCGAATACAACGTATGTACATGGTGCAACGAATTCGGGGGTACAACGGCTTGGAACAGGATCGGTACTAGTACCGTAGCATTTCTTGAAGCATTGTTGGTACCCTTTTTACCATATCACCCGTATGTATGTTATGCCATGTGTGTGTCAAGTCTGCTATGTGCCATAAAACAAACAAAACGAAGCACACACACACACACACACACAAACACACACACACACACACACACACACACACACACACACACACACTGCAACCACAGTCGGAATTCCTTCTTCCTTGCCTGACGAACGATGGGCACAGCAGCCTGAGGAGGAAAATAGATTACCATATGAACCACCTACATAGCGCGCTGTACTGATAGGTTGTCTCCACCAGGGCGATCTGTTGCAGACCAAATCCTGCAGCAGCTGGATGCCCTTGCTTTGGATCGATCTCCTCCGTCGTTGTCTACCCATAGGGAAGGAATAAATACTGAGGGAACCCAAGAAACTCGCTCCATGCCGCTTTGTGATGACCCACCGGAGATTCAGCTAGCATGTGGTTCGCATCCCTTATGCCGTGAGGATTATGAAGGGATAGCCCGGGCGAGCTTTTGTCTTCATACGTATGATGACAGTCTAAAGACTCTAAACTGCACTCATGTACGGCACCCTGACATGTCATGTCCAATGTGTAGACGGGCTGGAACGGCAATGCCTCTACAATTGTGGCCGACTCTGTGTTCCTAGCATGTAGGAGCCATGTAGACTGTGACATCTGTCTACACCGTGCCATTCGATGCAGTAACTGTGACTGTGAGAATTGGATGGGGTGCTTCCACAGGCCACACCCAAAACCGGTCCTGCCCGGTCTGTAGAGGTGGCCACTTACCATAGGCAACAACTGCTCCTCAAATTTTATGCAACCCACACACTGACTGGCCTCATGTACCATTCTAGAGTGGTCTGCCCCAGCGGTCACTATTTAGAACCCTGTCAGAAATCCACCTCCCATTTCCTTCCTGTCTCCTCTTGTGTATTATTACTAGTAATACATACGAGTGAGCATCAGTACGAGAACAGACAAAATATAAGTTGAAGATCTGAGAAGAAATGAACATGAATATACCTCCGCCTTTGCTCTGCCTCCTTTCATAGTGTGCAAGTGGGCCGTTATGGCACATGGGGATGTGGGCAGCTCGCGCTCAACCACAATCAACGTGGCGAGCCTTGTGCATTAGAGGCACGGTAAAGGCGGAGCTGCAAGAACAAACGACAGGGGTACCCGAAAGAAAGCAAACGTGAACACATTCAAGAAGGGTTTTAGATGCAGCTATTGTACTTCATGTTGCTTGCTATTGAGGTGAAACTGTTTCATTGTTGGGTTGTCTGAACGCAGTATGGCCCAAGAAAACTTTTAGCAAGGCTAGGGGGCGGATAGGCAGGCAGTTGAGCAGGCACACAGCAACAAATAAAATGTATGCACCACCGTATGCGCTATGCAGGATATGGCAAGGCAAGCCCGTGGGCAGGCGGGAGAGTGTGCACCAGGAAGCACACAGCAAGGCAAGTAGGGGAGGAGGAGGGCAGGTGGTCAGGCATAAACCATCTGTGACAAGCACGGGCCTCCCACATCGGCCCCTAGTTTGGCTTCCAGGCCCTGAGGCCGTGCAGCTCGCATTTTGGACGGCCTTGGGGCCACAAAAACATCTTTCAGGTC